TGGACCCTTTCATTCACAAGGATGTTTCATTCCTGTGGTGGAGACTGTAGAATATTTTTACTATTCCTTGACATATATCCCATCCCAGAATTATTGATTTTAACCACATTTTAAAAGGGAAAAAAAGTATTTTCCAGAATTTGATCTTCCAGAATTTGATTTGAATTTTTAATTTCCAGAATTATTTGATCATTTCAAAGCATATTTCCATATTCCTATAGCCGAAGAAGATAAATAGAAAACCTCTGCAATAATGCTGTTTGGACTTTATGAATTTAATGTAATGAGCCTTGGATTGCAAAATGTACCGGCTACTTTTCAGTGATTTATACATGAAGTATTTCAAGGTTTGGACTTTACCATATGTAGATGGCATATTAATTGCATCTTCCTCAAAAGAACACTGCCATGCCTGAATGATTAGAGAAATATGTCTTGAGAATCAACATTTCTAAGTCAATCATGAATGTTGATAAATTGGAATTTTTAGGATATATTATATTTTAGTTTTAGCACCCAACAAAAGTAATAACTTTTGTTAAATCTAAGGTTGAAAAGATAAACAATCAAAATAGGTTGCTATAGCAAAGATCAGAATAACATTACTGACCTGTCGTGCCCATTGAGGGGTGAAGCGGGTGGAATAATAATAAATAAATTACCAGAAGTACATCAGCCTGAAAAAGTCAAAGCAATATTGAATTATAAATTAACAGACTATTCATGTCCTGCAAACTTTCCTAGAGATGCTTAATGTTTATCAACCATTTCTGGAAGATGCTGCTAGAATACAAACAGTACTTCATGAGTATGTAAAGGGTGCTAAGAAAAAAGCTAAAAGAAAAATTAAATAGACCATTGGAGCAATATTAAACTCTGAAAAGTGTAAACAGAATTTGTAAAAATGTAGCTGTTTAAAGGATGTATCTGATTGAGTACAGATGCAGTTATCCAACAGTTTGAAAATGAAGCATGGAAACCTATTGCATTTTTTTCAAAAAATTAAATGTCATCTAGAAAAATTACAGTACTTAACAACCATGAGTTTTTTAGGAATATATCTTTCAATTAAAAATTTTAAACGTATGTTAGAAGCTTGCAATTTCAAAATTTTCAAGGACCCATAAGCCACTAGAATTTGCTTTCAGACAAAAGAACATAAAAGCATCACCAAGACAAATGCGTCAATTGCTATATCTAAATTTTTTACTAATATATGCCATATTAGCCAAAGCGTAAACTTAATGCAGATCAATTATTTGAATAGCCTATGCCTTTATTTCTCTTACGATTATGATAAAATTGCAGATAACCAAGCCATTGATAAAGAATTTCAAGTTTTATAAACTCTGAACGAAACATTAAATTTCAAAAGTTGCATTCCATACATTAAATAATTGTGCGATTTGTAGTCTCGGACCATTTATACCCAAACAATTTAGAATAGATTGTATTTCCACAAATACATAGTCTCACTAATGCACGAATAAAATTGACTGTTAAGGAAATTACATCCAAATTTATCTGGCCAAATATTCAAATATGCAGTCGTGCTTGTATTGATTTGTCAAAAAAATAAGGTTTCGCGACGTACAAAGTCTGAATCAACTATCAGCAGCGTGATGAACATTTTACCATACTTTGCAATGACTGAATGGGTCCTTATTTACCATCTGACAATTTTATGTATTGTTTGCTATACTGGTTAGATTGAAACCATTCCTTTACATGACATAACAGCAGAAATCATTGCAAAAGACAGGTGTTCTTTTAATAGTAAATACAGTTTACAGAGCTTTGCAAAATTTTCATTTTGATTAATTCTTTACTTTGGATGTGTGTTTCCTGTCTTTTAAAATTAATTTTGATTTATCTACTTAACATGTTTGCAACTATTCAGATGCCCAGTTTGAACTAAAACGTGGTTCTGCGAATCATTGTCATTAGTTTTATCTCATTTTACAGATTAAGCAAGTTTTTTTTTTCATTCAATTTAACTATTAAGTAGCATTTACGAAGACTTTCCCGGTTTGATAAGCGAAAAATTTGGAAAAGACAAAGCTAAAGAACAGAAAACTTCTTTTTAATAAAATCAATTAATGCATCCACACATACATGAATCAAGACAGTAACTTTTTTGCCACTTGCCATTACTCGGTAAAGTTCTATTTGTGAAAGTGAGTGATTGTAATTTCCAAAATATTATGGCACCATAGAAGGACACTACTTGTAAACATGGAAAAGACCATTGAATTGAGGAAAGAAACAAGTTTATTCACGCTTACTATTAATGAGATATGTGAAGATGTCAGCAAAGAGAATCCCAAAGATATAATTGAAAAAGGAATCAAAATTTCAAATTTAAAAAAAGAAATTTGAAAAATTGCAGAACTTAAATAGTAATGGAAATGATGTTGGTAGCTGACGAAACTGAAAAGGATCTGAATATAAGTCAGTCTTTAAGTAATTATTTTAAGGTTAACCCGTAACAGGGGACGTGCGGTCTGACGGACCGCGCCACATGTTTCCCCCATCATCCCTATTGCATGCTTTGTCCAAGTGAATGGATTCTTCCCCTAGCTTCACGTTTCGTGACCTTTCTGACCCCTTCTTATCGGAATGCTTTGGCAAGTGTATCTGTTGAAATTCTTCTGTGAGACCTTACCTCCCTCTCAGTGTTACAATTTTCGGCAGTAGTGAACACATGGCTCTGAAGTTAGGTCCGCGGAGATTCATTTATCCTTCTGATCCACGTTATGCAGAAGAACTGAAAAAAATTCTAGATGAAGTTGGAAGTGATTTTAGTGAAGAAGATGACTGTGAAGAAAATTTCTGCGAAAAAAAGGCGAGCAGCGGTTTTGATGTCATCATTGCATCATTCGATAGAAACAGACTCGGAAACACAGAAATGAGAAATAATTGGTTTTTATAACAGAACCAAAGGTGGTGTTGATGCTTTAGATGAAAAATGTTCTGTCCATTCCTGTAGTAGGAGAATAACGTGTTGGCCTATGGCTCTTTTCTACCGGTTAGTAGATACGAGTACAGTAAATGCGTGCATTTCGCACCAAGGTTATAACCAAAACCCTGTTATGACCAGAATGGTGTTTTTGAAAGAATTAGCGAGAGAATTAGTCCAACCACTACTACACATGAAAGGGAAAAATCGAAGAATAAATTGAGAATTGCGCCTGACGATAAAGCGGATTTTAGGAAAAGAAGCTGAGTCTAAGGAGTGAAGCAGTGCACAAAAGAAGCTGAGTCTAAGGATGTGAAGCAGTGCACAAAAGAAGCAAAATTAAAATCAAGGAAAACATGTCGTCTGTGCCCCCCAAGCAAGAAAAGAAAGACAGTATATTTATGTTTATCTTGCAAAGACCCTGTTTGTTTGGAATGCACGCAAAAGTTATGCAATGAATATGCTAAAGAAGACGAAAACTAAATTGTTTACTATCAGAAAATCGGTGAAATACTGATATTTTAGGTACTGTCAAAATTTTTCTGTATTGTGCTACATATAATTTTCTGCGGTTAAAATTTGCTTTGAATATTAACTAATATAGATAAAATAGTTAATTCAAAATAGATGTATTCTTATTTTTAGTTTTATAGAATTTAGTGCAGCATATGATTTTCATCAAAAATTTGAGGCTATGGGGAAATTTTCTGGGAAAACTTTAATTTCACTTTACAGTGTAAAAACGTATTTTCTTTTCAGAGTAAAATGTTCAAAGAACATCTAAGTGAAATATCCTGATGATATTTTAATTAGATGATTTTTAAAAATTTATTATAATGCGCGGTCTCTGAGACCGCACGTCCCCTGTTATGTTCAACTTTTTCACCTCCCCTGTTACGGGTTAACTTCTTTAAACTGGTGATACAACTGCCATAGCAGCATCTTCCATCCTCTTGTTAGAGAAATCTTCTATCTTTTATTGCTTTAGCTGACAGAGATATATGGGTGGTTCACAGTAGTCATTCGTGAGAGCTGCTAGCAAAACAGTTTTCCCCTTTCTTAATAATTTGGCTATCCATTTTTATTTCTGTTGCATGTACATTTCTGATAATAGTACTTTATATGCAGTTGCAATGTGAACAATGCAGAGAGTACTAAGACAATAATAATTTACAGCATTTTTATCACAGTTTTAAAAACTCTAAATCAAATTGTTTATTTAAAATTAGATCCCACTGTAAATATCAAAGTATGAAATTTTATAATTGGCTATTAATTAATGTAAAAATTTATATAGATTATTCCATGCAGTTGGTTTCATTTATAATTCACACTAGATATGTAAAGGAGACCCCCAACAGGCACAACTAGTATAATATAACAATTTTTGAATGTTTGAATACCACTGCTCTAAAGTAATGTTGGCCACCTTCACAATTCCACATAGCTGTTCCATGTGAAAGAGAATTTAAAACATTTCTATTAAAACAGACATATTTAGTATAAATGAAGATAGACTGGAAAAAATTCTATTACCAAAAAATAGACCTCCATGGCAGTTGCTATAAGCAAATTCATGATGTAGAAAACTTAAAGGATACAAAATGTATTAAACTATTATTTTGATGTAAAACATTTGAAATGATAAGAATATTTTTAATTTATAGGTATTTTTATACTAATGGCATTTTATAACATATTTTGCACCTTCAAATATTAGTGTTTATAGTTTGTTATTGAAAACAAAAACTTCCATATATATATATATATACATTTTATTGTTTAAAAGTGATTTTTTTGTAGTGCAAATATTCTGATTTCTTAAAAATAAATCTGATTTTTTAGTTTGGCAGGTTTGCATGTTTGTGTGTATGTTTATTTTAAAAGTGTGAGGAAAGTGGTAGTACAGTCTGTGAAACAATTAGTCGCATCTTATGTAGTTTAAGTTTTTAATTGCCTGTGTAATTTTTGTCATTTTAAAGTTTTCTTTTATAGTAGCAGATGCTCTTTTAATTTATGTTTTGTTTTTCTTTTCTCTTAGGTTCATCGAATTACAGATGTATGTTGGGACAAATGTATAGATAAACCAGGTTCAAAATTGGATGGTCGTACTCACACTTGTTTGATTAACTGTGTTGAAAGATTCATAGATTCCACTTTAATTCTTACTAATCGATTTGCACATCTGCTTCAGCGTTCAGCAGGAGCTATTTGAGATTTAGTGACATGTTTTTCATAACACTTTCAATTAATCTCTGAAACATTTTTATGTAAATATAATTAAATATTCAATGAAAGTAATATTTATTAAAGATTCTGCATAAGTCAACAAGAACTGTCTTTCATTATTTAATTATATTTTGCATTTTTTATTTAATTATATTTTGCATTTTTTAAATATAATAAATTGAAATGTATATTTGTTCTTATCTAGCTTTTTTTGCAATAGGCACCTTAGTCACTGAACTGCTCTGTTAGAATGGCACATTAACAGGATGCACTGCCATCACAACCAATAAAAATTGCGGGGCCTAACTGTGGAAAAATTTACATAAATTTAATTTGTGGTCCAGTTATTCTAATTTTTGTTACATTTTGAAAGGCGCACTCAGGACGTTATCCCAGTTAGTTTAATACTTTATCGTATTTTCTGTAAATATTCTATAAAATAATAAACTGTAGAATAATAAATTTTTTAATTTTCCTCAAATAAATATATATGAAAAAAATAACTTAACAATTACAGATTTTATTTCGCCCATCCTATTAATAAGAAAAATATTTTTAAAAATCTCTCTAATAATAAAAAAGCATGGAAACGACAAAAAGGAAGTAATATTTCAAAACGTATGCAATGCATGATAATTTTTAAACAGAATATCAATGGAAAAGTACCAAATATTCTTCAGTTTTGCAGTTGATAGCAAGTGATGGCATGTTTGTAATACTGAACAAAAAAAAAAAAAAAAAAAAAAAAAAGGTAGATTCACGTAAACTTATTGAATATCAAATGTATAACCAACCATTTGCTATTCGGTTACTTTCTAAGTTGATATGATTTCTGGCTTTTGTAAAGCATTTCTCCTGTATATGTGCTACTACTGAAGTTGTCTATCTGAAATTCTTAATTTTTGCAGGCTTTAGTTTAAATTATTAGTGCAAGCTTTTAGATATATATTAAATGATATGGGCATGAACATATAGTTATATAAAATAATAAGTTATTCAAATTGTTAAAGAAATTTATATTCTTGAAATAAAAAGTTTTTTTTGGGTTTGGTTAAGATTATGGAAAAGCATGTGAAGGCTATTTACCTAAGCGAAGGGATGCCTTCATGGAGGGCTTTCTAACTAAAACTAGTTTGTAGCCATATTACGGGTAGGAAAACCACAAAAACGCCCATGCAGCCATTCCATTGCCTGTAACTGAATTATCAGTGTTCAGTGACTTTATTACTCAAGCGCTAATGGACCCCTAGAAAGAAGTGCATGAGTTGTTTCAAAATGCTCAGTCTTAAGGCTGTTTGCACTTTTTTTTAGAAAATTTTCGTTTTATTTCTGGGTAATGTCCCGCTGCGATGGGCAGCCCGAGCAACTGGCAGGTAGCAAATCAAACGACCAGTGCTGCCTGGTGAATTCCAGGTGGTATGCTGCTGTCCTGGAGGGGTAATAGCAAAGGTTGAACCTCTGCGACATGCCCTAAAGGGGGAGTGGACCTGTAACGATTTTCAGTCTAATGAGGAAGGGAAGCCTATAATTAGATAGTTATTCTTCACTATCTTTCTACACTGTAATATCCTAAACAATACAGCTTTTTTTTAGTAGCAGATGAGGCATTTTATTTCATTCCTCTTGAACAGCTTTCCAAAGTCCAAGGAATATTGTAGGTCGATGTCTGGACAATTCACTTTTTAAAAGTCCAAAAGCACAAAAAATCCATGAATTATACATTATAAGTGATGAGTATAACCTAGATATGCATTTCTTGTTCAGTTTTTCTAGGAAATTAACTGTGGATTTTGACGTGTGACTGCCTGCTTTGCCTACTGATTGATGACACTGAGTAAAGAGAAGGTATTTCATATTTAAAATTTGGGTATATAATATGTTCCTGATAATATGTGGAGTTGACTTTAACAGTTTTCTGCACTCTCTTTAATTTTATTTGTCATTAAATAAAAAACCAGCAATGATCATAAATCTAGGAAAATTTTTAGATTCTTTGAACCATGTTTTTTTTGGGGGGTGGGGTGGGGAGATTTTTTTTTTTTTTTTTTTTTTCCTTTTTCTTTTCTTTGATGATAATAAATGGATCTCTGTTTATTGTGGTCATTTAAATATACCCAAGATTTATCTATTGTGACATTTTTCCATTTTTGTCCGAATAATTATTTCTCATAGAGAATTCTGCATTCAGTGATATGTCATGGAGAAAGATGACACACATCATGTTTTTTCGTCTTTTTAAGATTCAAATCAGCATTAATAACTTTGTTTACAGTTGACACTGAGCATTTTAATGACTATGCTGCTGTCTTTTTTTTTTTTTTTTTTTTTTTTTTTTTTTTTTTACTTCGAAGATTTTCTTTTAACATTTAAGTTCTTTCCTTTGCAGCATTCTGCTTTTTTCCTTGGGTATGTATTTTGAATAATTTTTCTCTTTGAAGCCAAACTTTGATGTTTTTTTCCTTTCTTATTGACAGTATTATCTGTCTTTGCTTTAGATACCGAAAAATCATGCCTTTCACAGCATTTTTTAATAACTAAGTAGGAATGATTTTCTTCAAAAAGAGAACAAACATGGCCTTTGATCCATCATTTCTTCAAAAGTGCCAGTTTGCATGTAAACAATATTTCAAATAGCAGATGAAATTTATTGAAAGTTGTATAAAATATTCTTTATTGAGTCAAAGAGTAGTAAGCCTAGAAGTCATTATCAACAAAAATGCCTGTTAAGGACAATTTTCACAAAGTTGAAAGTATATTCTTCAATCTTGACAAATTGTGACAGTAAAAATCATATCATGATTTACTTTAATTCCTATACATTTATCCATGCAAAATATTCAGCCTAAATTTGAATACTGAACAAAATTATTTATCTATGTTTCAAGATTTTATGGATTATTAGGAGCAATATGGCAAATATGTTCTCAGAACAACTGTCAAATATTTTTACCCAGTAAATCATTCAGATAAACAGTTAACATTTAAAATACTTAAGTGAGTTCAAGTAAATGTTAATAAAAGGTTATCAAACGTGAAAGTGATATTCTTGAAAATTTCATTATGTAAGGATGCTTAAAAGAGATATTAAGCATTAACACATAATACTACTTCCAAAGCTAAAAGTTTATATTGGTAGAAACACTGACATGTATATTACTTAAGCAAATTAGAATGCTCCTGAAAGAGAAAAATTATCAAAGAAGTAAAATGCAAAAAGAAAATTGAAAATAAGCATGATTAGAAACACAGTTTGCAGTACTAGATGAAGTAAGTAGGGCATTCAAATCAAATATATTAAAAACCTTTTTGAACGTGACAAAAGAAGTAAATGAAATGTTTAGTTCATCGCATGTAAAATTGATGATATTGAACTCAACAACAGTTACTTGCCCAAATATATAAACTAATTAAATTCACACTGTTTTCAACAATGGTGTTGGATAGACATATCAGTAACACTGTATTAGTTTCGAAATGCTTCAGTAGCACAAAACATTGCCAAGCGTAAGAAACAGTTTTAAAAAGAAATGCTTTTCAGTTTATGCTAGATGTTTTCTATGAAAAATAAAAATTGATAGTTAAAGTAGGGATCCCCAAACTCAAGTTTTTGCTCAGATAAATAGTAATGTTCAATTTATTTTGAAACATGTCAGTTATCTGAAAAGTAAATATGGCACTTAGTAGAAATCCGAGAACCAAATTATTACACACACAACACCAAAAACAAACAATATTAATTTCATTTCGGAGTACTTAATAATGCCATGAACTATTAACCAAGTAAAGAAACAACAGTGAATATATAAGCTTTATATAAATGGCACTTAATAATATTTAATTACTTTTGAATTGTCTTAATAACCCAAAACATAGACCAAGCATAAGAAGGCAACAAAATATACTTTCTCAGTTTATTGAACAAAAACAAACTGGTACTTAAAATAGATACTCGAGAGCCACAGTTTTGACATACAAGAATACCAGTAATATTTGATTCAGTTGGTTCTGGAATACTAATCAAGTAAAGCACATTAATCGATAGAAAATTAAATTTGAAAAGAATATGGTAAAATCTTAAATAACAGTTCAAAATAAGCAAATAAAGTCTTAAATTACAAAAATAAATGATAAATTTGCTATTTGCGAATTATCTGATACCTGAAAAATAAATGAATGTTCTTTAAAAAAATACCTGAAGTTCTCAAGATTCTTCACTCCAGCCGCTCTAAGAAGTCACGAGCAGGAATGAACTGTTTGAATCTCGAACTAGGATCCTTGCTGAAGATGGGCATCTTAACAATCTTGCTTCATCCCCCGCTCTTTTCAGTGGACTTTTCTAGGTGGCAAACATCAAAAGATCTGTTTGAGATTTGAGACAGTAGTTTCTTATTGTGGCTGATGATGCACTGAGGTGAACATGCATCATTTTATTAACAAATTGATGATATTGAACACAACGACAGTTACTTCCCCAAATATATGAACTAATTAAATTCACTCTGTTTCAACAAAAGTGCTGCATAGACATATCAGTAACACTGTATTAATTTCGAAATGCTTCAACACAAAACACTGCCAAGCATAAGAAACAGTTTAAAAAAAATGCTTTTTCACTTTATTCTAGATGTCTTCTATGATAAACAAAAATTGATAGTTAAAGTAGGGGCCCCAAACCGAAGTTTTTGCACAGATAAATAGCAATATTCAATTTGTTTTGAAATATGTCAGTTATCGGAAAAGTAAGTATGGCACTCACTTCGTGTATCGCCTATCTGATGAAAATTGACCGGCTGTTGTATGGCTGTATCGAGAAAGATTTCGAATGAGATGAATACATCACCAAATGTTCACTCATGTGAATCAGAACCTGTGTGAATGACAACAATTCTTTAGACTTTTGATGCATGACATTGGGCAGGTGCGACCAACGTGAATAACCAGTTTGGAAAAAGGTCTGTTGAATGTTGTGGACTGAAATCCTGTCACCAGTGTACGTCCACTTGCCTCTGCAATAACTGCATCTGTATCAACTATGTGGCCCTTTCTGCACAGCGATGGCTTACATCCTTTTCATCTTCAAAGAGTTCAAGCACTGCAGATGGAAAA